AAGATGTGTGGAGTTTATTTTGCTAATAAGACAAACTATGCAAGTTGGAAACAAATTTGAAGGTTGGGCGATTAGTTTATGTCTTAACATTTGAGGATTTGCATGGATACAGAGGGCAGGCAGTTCCAGTCTCCTTTTCGCTGAACTTGAGTTGACTCCTTCACATTCACTATGGCAACCTCAATGATCAAGACATACAGGAGCTCTGAAGTGTGTGCCAAAACTTTCCAAAGTTAATAATGAATAGGTATGAACCACACAAGGCACGCCTCTCTCAACAAGTCACTGCAAAGCTAATGTAACTTTAGGATGCCGTTTCCTTCTCACAGTACAGCACTGAAAAGGTCTCATCCCAGACAGCAACCTTTGTGAATATTTGCTTTTTGCCCCCACTACACTACATGGCTAAGCCCCATTGGTCTCCCCCTTTTTACTCCAACATTGACCAATATAGCTTGCTTTGCATCCTCTCAGTTTAAACAAAGTAACATTGGAAGGCAAACGTTGCCGGAGCATATGACTTTGGTTTAATGCATCTTTTCCTTCAGTGAGAATGCAAGCCTCAGCTGCCCTAATATTTAACCGAAGCAGATCCTCATTTGCTTATCTGTTTAATCGCACTTTTATCTAGGCCAGCTGCTGCTCCTGCTGCTACTATAGCCACTCTTAATTGGAAGGATGTTTCTGTTGTATCCTAGTGGTTTAAAACTGAGATACTGCTACCTACAACCTGCACTCATATTGGTATCTGAACTAGGCTTCTTTATAAATCATATTGTCCATTTTAGCATAAAAGATAAGCTTTCAGGATGCAAGTTTACTTCAGGCTTCTACTGCTGGACATTTTATCACAGTAGTTTTATATGAACTGAAGATTGATCATTGATTTTATAACCAAAAATGACTTTAGTTCTGTATAATATTACTTAAAACTCATAAAGACAATTTTATACTCGAGTAGGTATTATTCCTTTCATCTATTTGGGTCAGTTTAATGGTACATTAATAATTATTAATGTGAATTGGAATCTATTATATGGTTGTATTCCTATTAGAGCCCATGAGAAGACTTGAAATCAAAGCCTCTTTCCAAGTATTATTTATAGTTTATGGTTTGCTTTATTTTCTTTTTAAAACATTGCTGTATATCTGAATAGTGAACATAACATTTGTGAAAGTGAACACACTTTCTTCAAAATTTGGTCAGTCCACCTGTGTTTTAGTTGTCGAGTCTCACAGAATCCTTCAAAAACTGTCCTGCTAATTACTTTTCTGTGGCCCCTGTTGAGACAGGCAGTCTTACTGGACATTGATTTGTTTAGTCAGAATAGAACTTCACATAAGAGACAAAGCTAATTGCACAATAATGTATGAATTGAAATCCACTTGTATTGAAAAACAAATAAAATATGACTGAATTTTATATTTAAACAAGTGAAAATTGTTTAAATATTCACTGAAATTTAAAGCCTCCATGAAAATTGTTTCTCTTGCACAAATAATGCACATTGAGCTCTGTGTTGGCATTAAAGATGGAGTTCTGCAAAGGCTCCCAGCACCTCAGTAACACCACTTCTCAGAATTACATTAAACCCGTTGGGACTTGATGAAAGAACGCAAGGTATAAACCCCTTGAGGGCCCATGAGTCACCATCTAGAAAGGTTCTTGAAAGGGTAAGAATGTTTTATAGTTTGATCAATAGGAGCCTGAGAAGTAGGCTGCAGGGTAAATATAAGTTGAGGATTAAAAACTTTTGGAAACTTGAAGAATTGAATTACAATCCTAAGAAAGTTCTCAGGAGAAAATGGGAAACATAGAAAAAGAGACTTTTTTATCCCATCTCAACCAGCAGCCAACCTTTCTTCTAGGTCAGAGTACAGCCAAGATAGATTTCATGATAACCAGCCCTAATTATCTCAGCCCTATTGCAGAACTAAGTCATGAACAGACTTTTCTAGAGATCCAAGTGCCCACCATAGTAGTTTTGAGTACATACCAAATGGAAGTAAAAAGGGAGTTGCAGGCTTCAAAATTGATCAGTTTTTCCATAGAATACTTCATACCAAAAGGTTCTTACTCCATTTCCCCAGATAGGATGAAGCTTTACTTTGAAAATATATGTATTTGCAGTGTTGCAAATTGTATTTTCCCAGACAGAATTAAACTTTACTTTGAAAATATATGTATTTGCAGTGTTGCAGTTGAGTTTTCCTTTCTCTCCTTTCTATTATTTCAGTGTCACCGGACAGGCTATTAAATTAATGTGGGTGTGACAATTTAGATTGTGTTTATAAAGGGGGCAGTGCATTTAATGGCATACCCACTGTTACAAGCACAAAAGTAAGTACAGGAGCCGGCTAAGAATTTCTGAACTCAGCAGATTCTAAGAGTTTTTGATGCTCCTTTGGCTTTTGCCTTATTCTTAGAAAATTTACGGAACCCTACCATGAAACATAATTAAATAAAAACAGACTTCCAGGAGCTACTATTTATGTGGTGCACTCAGCATGATCAGACCGAGTGCAAACAGCTCTATGCCAAATCCACGAATGCAGCGGGCCTCTTCTTGGCAGAAGGGTGAACGTGGTGGCCATGAGGACAGGAAGGCAAGGAGAAAGGAAAAGGGAAGCCCTACTAAAGGGCTCATGCCCTTGGAGTTGCATCCAGCACAAAGCCCCTTTTCTATTTTTCCTATCTGGGTTACACCGAGGAGGCTTTGTGTAGAGTGGTTCTTAATGCACCCAATCAGAAATATGAGGCAAGTTCATTCTCTTGATGAGACACCAGAAGAAGAAAGCAGGAGACAATGACACGGGGTAAAATAAAGGAGGAGTAGCTGAGTAAGGTAAACAGCTAAGTCTAGTTTGTTCCCAACGTTGTACCAGTCTCATCAGTGATGTGTCTAGGTGTCACAGCCTCTGGTGTCCTGTGATGGATCCTCACTTATGCCAAGAGCTGGCCACCTGGCAGCCAAACCCTACATAAGATATGAAGAGCCTGTAAATGCAGGACTTCTGTTCCTGAATCTGCTGCTCTGATGAGGAGGTGTAAGTGACTATGTAGCGAGGTGACCACTGTAAATACCATTGTTTCCTCTTCCTGGGGGTCACCCAGAGAACCCTCATGGAACATGTTGTGACAACTACTGACACATGGAGTTATCATAGGTTTTACGCCACGAACAATACATTTAAAGTATGTTGTAAAAGACTTCACAAGGACCTAAAAACACTTCTATGGGAAGAATCAGAAAAAAATAATTATTTTTGAATTGAAATTCAGGTACACACTCATTTATGAACACGGAACCCAAAAGAGCTGAGTTTTTCTTAATTTTGTAGGTCACATAGAAAGATTTTCTCAGTTTCCTTGGATGGAAAACTTAAACTGCCCCCTGTTTAGTGCTTCCTGCAGTTTTTGATTCTCAGTTCAGGCTCTAACTCACAAGTAGGGGAATAGGGATATTCTGGCATATATAGGTCTTTCTGGCAAACCAGTGAAGCAAGTCTCACAGGTGTTCTCTTAAGAACCCAAGTTCCCCTAGCCTGGGTTCTAAGCCTGGGCCAGCCAAATGATACTCTTCTAGAACCTCTTCCTAAACCAGCACTGTTGGGCAATCTTTCTTCTGAAACATTCTGAGTTTCTAATAGGGAGGAAAATAAGAAATGAAATAACTTTTTGTCCAGGAATACTCCTTTGTAAAGGCTGATTTTTAGGTCTAGCAAAGACACCTTCATAGAAGGCAGTTATCTGTGAAAGCCAAGGTGATGGAGTTTGAAATTGACAAAAGGATGAGGACTTAACTTTTCTTCTGAAGGTGACTTTCTGCCCATGGATCTTCCATTTCCATTAATCAGGAGTATTCCTTAAAAAAAAAAAAAAAAAAAAAAAAGCTGGAGAGAAAAGAAAAAAACAAACCAACCTCCCGTTCCATGCCCCAGGCAATCTTGTGTAAGGCAATCTGTGGCAGCTAGCAGCTAGTCAGGTGTCCTGGCAGGAGTTTTTCCTTTCAACTCTGGCTGGGCGCTTCTTAGACTCTCTTAAAGAAACATACTACAGAGCTCCCACTTAGGCCTGCTCTTTCTCCCTGATGTCTCTCTGTGGCATCTTTTCAGATGCTTCTTTAGAGGATCATTTTGGATGGGGAAAGTATAGACATGGGCTTATGATGATGAGGGATTTCCTGTGAGTCTGGAGAAGTTAGAACATGTACAGGTGCTCCTGGGTATGGGGAAAGGAAGCAAGGACTCTGCCCACCAGTTTTCCAAGTGCCTTGTGTGCACTCTTATCTCCAGAACAATCCTGTGCTCTTCTACCATAGTGCGCACCCAAAGATCTTGGGGCCCTTATAATTGTTAGGCATTTTCAGGGACTGAAATGTAATGAAGGAATTGTTCTTCCTGTTTCTGGAGGTAAACTAAATATGAAAGGAAAATGAGCAGCAGACTCGATCCTGACTGTTTTTCTTTTAAGTTTCATCTTTAAATCAAACTATTTCTCCCAAAATTAAACATAAAACTTATAGCCACTTAACCAAAAACAATTCACATGAAATGTTGTACTATGTATAATTTGCAATTGTTACAAATAGTCAATGCAGTACCTTTGTTAGCTTAGTGTTTTTAGATTCTTAAAAGGAGGTATGTTGAAAGAAAGGTTGCATTTAGCTTTCTCTCAGGCGTATAAATTTAGTGCAAGCCCGTTTTAAGGAGCTTTATGTGGTAGAATTGACATTGCTTAATAAACAATTGAAAAAGTTAAGCATAACCTAGAAGTCATTTAAAACAGTGAGTCACTTTCCTGACAAGCCAATAAGATAAGAGGACCAAGGTTGCAAAATAATTACTAGCCCAGCCTGAGGGACCCTGGAAATATATTACAGGTATCAGTTAAGAAAACAAAGCAGTGGTGTTTTACCACTCTGCAGAGAACAAGCTAAGGTTGCTAACCAAACAAAATAGCTTTACACTGACAATGCCAATTTTTACATTTCTTTCAGAACAAGGGACACTCAAACTACCGGAGGTAAGGTGAACATTTTAATTTTTTTAATCCTTGCTTTTCAAATTGTTTGCTAACCTAACCAGGCTTGAGCTTTTACACTGTTAAATGTGCCTTTTAAAATAAATAGAAATAAACCGAAATAGAGGGAACAACCCAAGTGATTGTGAACAAAATGCAAAAGTTAAATCCAAGGAATTTTCACAGTCACTGTCCGAAGGGCTTAGGTAGAGAAAAAAATGTGAAAACTTAATAGAAGACTGTGTATGAAATGGAACTCATATAGAGGGAAGAGTGGTCTGTATCTGCAGAAGCTGGTAGATGCATCCCCTGTCATGAACTGTGTCACTGCCCGACATTTGCCGAATTACCGAAATTTCCTAGAATTATTGCAAATTCTAACATTGTTCATCTAAGGTTATGGTTCCATGCTTCTAGTACTTTTCCATTTGAGCACATAGATAATTGTTATCATATCCTGTTGATCAAATCAAGAAATGGTAACATTTCCTTTGGTTTAACACAGTCTCCTAATGGCTTAGAAGTATGTGATCTCTCTTACCTCTCAGAATAAAGTTACATAAAAAATATTAAAAAATAAAGTTATTTTAAAAATACAAAAGATGATGGGATGTTTAGGAAGTAAATAACAAGATGCCCATTATTAAATACTTTCCTGTTGAAAATGCTCTCAATTGTGTTGTTTGATGTTGTTTGTATAGAGTTCCCCAAAGTTATAAAATTTCAGACAGCAAAGAGTTTTTCTTTAATGGTTTCCAGATAACCATTGCCTTGACCTTCAACCAAAAATAACAGATTTCTCACCTGACTGCCCCCACCTCCCAATCGCCATAGCAAAACATTTTTAAAGATAATAGAAGAATAAAATACAAACTATGTGTGATTAGTTATATGAACCCAAAGTTCAGTGATCTGACAATTTCAAAATAATGATGAAAATTATGATTTGTAAATTAACATCTCACAGTTAAAACCTCTCTTTAAAAGTGATACTAGTATGTTTTTAATCTAACATGTAGTAAAAATAATAAAAAGTACAGCAAAATATAAAAGGTGCTTTATACTTTTTGTATAAATATGTAATTTGAACATATAAGATATCAAGAGTATGATATAAAGAGGCTCATATGCACCTAATCAGTGTATCTGTTGACCATATTTTAGAACCTAGAGTCTAGACCAAAGAATGCGTAACAAGGTTTCTTTTTTTTAATAGGCCAATACAAGTTCTTTTAGAGCTAAAATAAATTAACTGGAGAGTTCCTTTAGTGTTTCATTGACAGGTAAGATTTTTCATTAGGGTTATCAGGATTCTTCCAGCAGTGCCAAGGATCTTGCAAAGTAGCTTTCTTTCACTTACTTTCTCATGCTCTTATTATATTATTGACACAGAAACCTTGTAGGGTTCTGAACTTTAACTCAGTGTTACCTAACATTTATCCTTTTAGATATATGTATTATTTTTCCAAGGAAGATGGTTTCATTTCATTTTAATTAAGTAATGTGAGGTGGGCATACTTACAGAAATAAAATGTGCTAATAAGAAGTGGGTAATAATTTTCATGTGATACTAAATAATTCTCACAGGCACTTTTATACTCTTTAAATTATATGTAGGCACATTATGCAAGGAATTAATTTTCACATTGATTTTTAAAAATATATAACATCAATTTTTTTAGTGACTTGCTTTACTCTTCAATATAAGTATAATTTTTATTTACTGTGTGATTGTATTAATAATCTCTACTTTGTGTGAATGGGGGATTATAGTAAGCTCTGAGGCTAGCCAATCCATTTGGAAACTTGAGTTTGTTTTAAGGGAGCAGTATAGCAAACTAATATTAAGAAACAGCTCTCACCCAATACCAGGTGCGTTCACTCTCCGGGGAAGATGCTTGCAGCTGGTCAGGAATCTCCTCATGAGTAAATAGTGAAGCACTTTTGTAAGCTCTGTGATCTTAATTTTTCTTCCTCTCTTGAAGACCTTTTTTCTCTCCATGTACCAGTTTATAGGCCTCTTCTGCTTCCCTTTCAATAGTTATGATTGTGAATTTTTAATTTTTAATTTTACACTTTTTTGTGAAGTAGGTCAGTTTTCACTAGCCACAGGATCTGTGGGGTATCCATAACCGTACCTGGGCTGTTCATCTCACATCCCATTCCAGAGTGGACCTTCAGAAAACTCCGCTGGCTCTAAGAAGCAAGTTTATTATCGAATACATTGATAAACTTGCTTCTTGGAGCCAGAGGAGCTTTCTGAAATTCTTTTTTTGTTTTAAAAAAAAAAAAGAGAGACAAGTTAATAGGTAATGAAGCGAGAAATAACTGCCAAGTGCTAATAAAATTGAGTCTGTTTGCTTTTTTCCCCCCACTTTTAGGTAGACCAAAGGAAGTTGAGAAGGTTCTGGAGACTGATTCTCATGGTGGTGTGAGGCTGTAATTGAGAGCTCCAGGGGTGGCTGCTAGATGTGCTCTCCCCTCCTTTCCCTTCTCTTCCTGCTGGGGACAAGGGCCTGTCAAGCCCCGTCCTAGACTTTTGAGAATATAGATTGGGGAGGGGAGCATAGGCTTAGAGATGACAGGATGATAATTGAAATTTGCACTTTAAAATTATTCAACATATGATCTGCTAACCATCTCCTGTTTTTTTTCAATATAAAATACTTTTTAAGTTCTTTTAAAGTATAAAAATCTTAGACTCTACAAATGCAGTTGGTCTAGGGAGCTGAAAATTCCTCCTATGTTTATTTTTTAAATATGCGGGATCATAGTTTATTCCACTGCACACCCTTCCTGTAGAAAGGTTTCTGTTTTCAGAGTGAATGATTTTCAATGGCTTTTTAGGAGGAAAAACCTCAAATATAAGCAATAAGGCACTAACAGTGTAGAAGGATTACTTTCTGTGAATTTAAACATTTAAAATAATGAAAAGCGAATAATCTGTCACTTAATAATCCTTACCATGTGGCAGTAACTGTTTCAGGTATTTAAGGTAAATTAACTCATTTAATGGTCACCACAAAACCTATGAAGTAAGTGCCATTATTATCTCCATTTTATAGATGAGAAAACAGGCACAGAGATATAAACTTAACTGTTTGTGTTCAAACTGAATTTGAACTTAGGGAGTATGAATCTAGGATCCATTCTCTTAATACTTGCAATGTGTATCCTATTTTAATTCTAAATTCAAGATAAAACAATACAGAGTTGCTCTTGAAGTCAGGTTTCCTTTTTCACATTTTAAATTTATAGTTTCTAAAAGGGACTAACTTAGGGATTCTAGGAATCAGACCAAAGAGTTAAATGTTTTCTTCTTGCCTTCCTAGTACTTTGGTAGTAGAAGGTATAAGATCAGTAGAAAGTCAGCTTCTTGTTGTGCGTTAAGAAGATGATGTGATATGTAGGAAGTAAATAGCAAGATACCCATCATTAAATACTTCCTGTTGAAAATACTGTCAATTGTGGTGTTTGATGTTATTTATATAGAGTTCCTCAAAATTATGAAATTTCAGACAGAAAAGAATTTTTCTTTAAATTAGTGTTCTTTCATTTTATCAGACATGAGTCTGTAACTCATCATGCTTCCAATTTTTGTGCCTTGGCTATGAAAAAGTCAAGAGCAAAATTTTCCTTTCACTCACAATGACTCTTGTTATTATAGTTTTCCTAGTGCAGCTGTCTACCCTGCTCAGCACAGCTTCAATGTTGATTTTAATGATCCTAGCAGTCTTTTACAAATCCATGTTGGAAGTAGTTGGGTAAAAACAAAAATCACATTTAAAAAATGTCTCCAATTTGCTTTCACCTGAGAACTCTGAGATTCTGCTGGATATGGCTTTGAGGCCCTTAGGAAGGCTGAGGAAAAAAAAAAACATTTCATCCATTTAACTTGTGAATGAAAACAACAGAAAGAACCCCAAGAGAAATCCATGGCTAATGTGTGCTTAGCACAGCCAAGTCTGCTCTGAATGAAACCATGTCTCCTCACACAGACACAACCCAGCACATATAAAAAGAAAATTGCTTTTGTGAAAATCTAGACTGTATGATAGCCATAGACTCAGCATTTCATCCAGTTGCATAATAAAGAAATGAAATCAAGCCCTTCTTAATTAGTGAGATTACTGTACTTATTGGGTGGGAATGAGTTTAATTCTTAAGAAATAAAATATGTAACCATGAATTTTCATAGATTTAAAATCTCTTAGTTTTTGTAATGCAAAGTTTTTTTCTTATGGCTTCATTTTCTATAATAAGAATTTATTTTTACAGTTCACAAACTGCATGTCTGTTTTGTTTTTCAAAGTTTTCAGATACAACTGGTCCATAATTAAAACACTATTCTCATTTAAGTGTTTGCTAAAATCAGAGCTTCAGATCTTTGTTTTGAGGTTGTATGTCTTCTTCAGTCTGGTCTGTGAGTCCCCATAAATGGCTGAGTTAGAGGTTTAGGAAATCACTTTAAGGCTATTGTTCATATGTCTTGACTGGGAACATTTTCTAACCAAGATGGCTGCTGAGCTTTGTTCTCTCCGCAGTCATTAAGACTTTTTAAAAAACTGAGTCTCAGTATCTGGAGTTGGCAACCAAAATATTTTTTTTCTTACTGTTATAAGGTACAAGCAACTTATCAAGTGTAATGATCTGCAAGTGGAAGACTTATTTAAAAAAAAAAAAAAGGTTAAATTATAAAAAAAACTTTAATACTTGGATCAAATTTAGTCATACTTTTAATTGGAAAACGTGCAGCATTCATTTGCTTTCCAAAGTGCCAATAGTAATATAATTTAATAATATAACATTACCAACACGTATTTCTTTTGCTTTTTTTTCTTATCTGCACAGAAACGGACCAATGGACTCCGAAGAACTCCTAAACAGGTGGATCCAGGTGTGTTTCTGATTAAACATCCCATAATGATGGCTTCAGCTAAGTGCTTATGAAAGTATATGGGAATTGCTGTGGAAAGTCAGGCATATTGTGGGCCTTTGTTCCTCATGGTTTGGTGTATAATGTGTGACCAGGAGGTCACAGTGTAACGTGTAAATCATTCACATGATGAATAACTACCGGCAGCCACCAGCATTGCACTCTTTTCACAGTCAGCAGTTGAGCTGGGTATTTGCTAACTGAACAGCCTCAGGGTGCCTGGTTAATGCTCACATATCCAGCACCCTCCCTGTGTTCCTTTGTAAATCTAGTAAAAAAAAAAAAAAAAAAAACCAACCAGCTAGCTGACTCTTAAAAATTACTGTTTTCTAAGTAAGTAAGGGAGGGCATAAACCAGACAACTGGTAACCAGCCTCCATTGGAGAAAATTTCTTCATTCTGTATCTATACTATTTTATGATAGCAGCATGGTTTTTTGGGACTTTGTGACAGGTTTCCTCTCTGGAGACCAATTATTTGTCTGCAGAAAACATTCAGTTGTTTTCTATTTAGCATTGTGAGATTTGCCCTGTCATTTTGTTAGTAGAGTTATTTTTTTTATCCATTATGCAATGCCTTCCTTCCGTAGTTTAATTACCAGAGATTTTTTAAGTATGCTATCCTTTTGTTGTGAGTTAAAGGTATTCACAGTTAAAGGATTCCAAATATACGAACTTGATAATAAACCAAGAGGAACATGAAAAATGGAGTAGCTTTGCTGGAAAATAACCTGGATTATGTGTTTCATTTTGTTTTCCCATTGTAAGTGGTATTCACCTGGTTGTAAAGTTTAGTTTTCAAAGCATTATAGCTTATAACTGAAACCACACCCATGGTAGTCTTGCCAGTTTATGAGCTGTTTAAGATTTATAGGAGCTTTGTTGCCTCTGGCTAAAAATTGCCTCACTTGTGTCCTGAGACCAGTTTAAATCTTTTAACTACAGAACACAATTGAAGCCATCAAAAAAAATAGGAGTTCTGGTTTACTTTTTAATAGTTCTGACTTTCCCAAGACAATATCCTTTGCAGCGGACTCCCTGCAATAATATTTAGAAGTGACTTTCTATATTATATTTAGCAGGAGTATTTGACTGTGAACATAATGTTTGTGTCTTATTTTGTGTGAGTTATAGTATGGCTACTTCAGAAAAATTATTTAACCTTTATAAATGTTCTTTATTTTTAATGTATTTTTTCTTTCTTCTCCCGTCAGGGAAATGCATTTTTATATTTGTAGTTGGTCGGTAGAAACGTATTTGACTCAACAATGAATAGCCAAAATTTTCTATAATCCCTTAAATTATTTAGATTAGTATAGTAAATTCACAGATTATAAATATGGCAAAGTAGAACAACAGTAAAACAGATTTATGCTCCTGTATCCTAAAGGTGATGGCTTTGTATAGGTACAATTTTTGTTTGTTTGTTTGTTTTGGTATTTCTACTTGTCCAAAGACTTTAAAACTTCATGAAGAATAAACTTACAAGAAAAGTACTGTTGTATGTTATGTTTGTAAGAACATAGGTGATAGTTTTCCATTAGGTATAATAAATGTATATGAGTATATTTTTCCTTTTTCCATATTTTTGGAAGTTAAAAAACCAAACACTTGATGATTTTGCCTGTTGAGGCTGCTGATATGGTAAGCCTATTACTCCCCATAGCTGTTTCTGATTTAGGCTTGACTGACGTATTTAAAGTTGCTTGACTTTTGCATCTCTGCCTCTTTCTGCTGGTTAGTTGCACAGCTTCTTTGTTCAAAGTTAACTCTTACCTGATGGCCATCGTGCCTTGATCCTCATGTGGCTACTGTTTAGCAATTTTCAGACAAAATGTTGAAACAAGGGATCAGTGAAGTTGAATCTGCATAGGCAAACTGCGTCCACGATGCATTATTTGCTATTAATGTTTTTACCATGGAAGTTCCTTTTTTTAATCCTATAATTAATATAGTTAACATCTTCAAGTGCCAATACATGCCTTTCCAGGGTCTCACTTAAAGTGGCATATAAAAACAACTGATTAAACATTTTAGGCCAGGTGTAACCACTTCACCAGGTCCAAATTTCAGAGCCATGTACAAAGGTAAATTATATATATTCTCCATAGCCCTTTTGTGTTAAAAAGGAACTTACTGCATAGTCCGATGGGTAGTAGGTGCTTAATAAATGCTACGTGAAGCAGTAAGTGATGATATACTTTTTATGTATGCACTGGCATTCTTTCTTTTTAAATTCCTCTTGTTGATATACTAATGAAACACGGCATAGTCTAGTGGTGGGAAGGATGGCTCTGAGCCATGTTGCCTGGGCTTGGGACTAGCCTTAGCTGTTTAGTTGCTGTTTGAACTTCATCAGTTTGCTTTCTCTCTCTGTGCTGTAGTGTCCTCATTTGTAAAAGGAAATTTATAAGAGGACCTAACTTACAATGTTGTTATGAGCATTACGTGAGTTAATATTGTAGGCTGGGCATGGTTGGCTTGTCCTAGCACTCTGGGAGGCCAAGTGGGAGAACCACTTGAAGCCAGGAGCTTGAGGTTGTGGTGAGCTATGATGGCACCACCACATTCCAGCCTGGGTGACAGAGCAAGACCTTATCTCAAGAAACAAAAGAGCATGTAAAGTACTTTCTGAGGTGCCCAGTATATAGTAAATGCTAAGTATAGCAATTACTGTATTAACTAGTTTATATTAGAGTATGTTCTTAATATTGGGCATTTTATCATGTGAAGGAGAATAACATTTCCTCATTATTTCTTTGCAGATAGACTCTGAATTTTATGTTGAATTTCTGTTGAAACAAGAAGCTACATAATCACAGTCATTTTCAGATTTATTTCTATTTCTCCTTAATCTAATGGCTTTCATGATCTTTTGCTTATCTTTATCAATAAGCATAGTCAATTGTAATAGTTGAGAGGTTTTTCTGGGTGAAATTATTAGTGTTTGTTATTGCAATAAAGAAACAAAGAAAGGCTCCTAATATTCAAAACATATATTGTAGGGTTTATTCAAATTCAAGAAAGATGTGAACTCTAGGTTTGCATTGTAGCTTGTTAGCACATTTAAATCATTTACTCCTTATTAATAATTGTGATTAATCTTTATAGGCAATATTTGTAAATGGCTTTGCTCTTTTTCTTGTCTATTGTGTGCTAAGAAATGTATCAACTTATAATCTTGACTGCTTTTATAAATATACTAATGTATTATATGCAAATTCTGGTAGCTCTTTTGGATTTCTTAAATATAGCAGGGAATTTTCATCAGTTTTTACTTTTCTTCCTAAGACAGACGTTGGTATTAGGAAAATAACATTTGTAACAGACAGATCAATTATTTCAGGAACATGGAGGTGCTAGGCCTTTTTCAAGAACATGAGATCATAAATCTTAAGAAAATCTGAGCACTGGTATAATATTTTTCACCTAAAGTGGCACTCAAGGTCATAGTTACCAATTAGATTTTAATACTGAGCTTAAAATTCTTTCTGTCTCAGTATAAAAGATACAAGATTTATTTCAGTTTGCATGTGGCAAATCTGTATATCAGAGTGTGTATTCTTTTCATTGAGTCCATGTTTTTAAATAATTTTAAAATTGTCTTATATCTGTGGACCTCATAGCATCTTGTATTTAAGCCTGCAGTCACTAGCTTTTAAGCACTTCGGACCATCATTCTGTGTTGTACTGCCTAAAGATTATATGGAGGAGATAGGAAATGTTTAAATAGCTTACACCCTTTCTGATCTTAAGTTACTCTTGTGCTTTGTGATAACCTTGAATAGATAATGGTTAAATTAATGAGTCCTTTCTGACAACTCTTGTTTCTCAGATGCTCATTGTTAAACTCTTGATTACAAAGAGATGCACATGGCTTAGAAACACTGTCTTTTCTGATTCACCAAGGAGATTTCTTACTGTTTCTTAGCAGAAACATCTTCAAAGATGGTCACTTTCTCTTTCAGGTGGATAGGATTGACATATAATGCCATTCCCATTTGTTCTTGTCTGATTAAAGGAATCTAAGAAATCTTTCTTTTATTACCAATTTCATTTCTTACGTGACATTAAGCACAGCATTGTCATTAATTATAAAACATAGCCCCTTTCCACAAATAATTTATATCCTTCTTAGGAAAGGAATAGATACAGACACAAAGTTTTGATTGCATAAATGCATGTATATAAATGTACACATAAAAATTTAAATACTATGTACTATTTCATATATGGATTTATTACTGTATAGCAGTGCCTTAAAAACAGTTAGTGAATAGTTTGACAAACATGTAAAAAGGTCTAGGATTATACAATACATGCAAGAAAGCAAAACAAATTGGGAAAGCCAAATGTCTCAAATTGCTTTTAATCTGGGTTATGTATAAATATTTTCATTTATATGAATAAAAATGTTATAGTGGTTTATTGAATTGAATTATAATTTAATATCATTGTTTTTAATGTTTTAATTTCAAAGGATTGTGAAATTTATTCCAAGTCTTAACAGAATTTTTGATTGCTTTTAGGTTTGGTTTTAAATATAATACCAAGATGCTCAATAGAGAAATTTTATATTTTTGTCTCCAAATAGAAAACATTAAGAACATTAACAACACAGTGTTTTTAAAAGCACTTATCTAAAATTCATTTTATATATTTTTATGAGAGAGACAAATACATATTCCTGAAGGTTTTAGTAAATGAGCTTTTGTCTGTAATAAATAATAAAGTTTCCATAGATTAGAATATTTCCATACCAATCAGTCAAACCTGCTTCTGTCTTATCTATCACCTCCAAAACTAATTTCTCATCAAACATAAATCCTAATCTAAATATTGGGAGCATAATTGTAAATGTGTAGAAATGTATTTCACATTGAAAGAAATGAACTTGAAAAAACTGGGGCAGTAAACCCAGTGATTAAGATTCATTGCAGAGAAATGAGAAATCCAAGCTGT